TTAATCTTTATATATGTTGATGCTCGGGATATTTAAATATATCAAACTTTTTAGTTTTTAAATCTTGTTTGAGTATTATTATTATAATTGAGTATCATGATGTACGATACTGTCTCATTTTCAAGGGTGTCATTAAAAATTACAAAACAAAAGACGGACAAACAAACAAAAACAGCATTACATAACACACATGCAGTGTAAATGTGCAGGTACTGGCAGCTTTCTCACCACAAGCCCTCAGTTGTTGAACAGGAAGATTTGGATACAATGACCCAGATAATAAATCAAGAGCATTAGCATAAAATCTGAGCTGTTTGTTCTACAAATAGACTGCAGATCGTTCAGTACACAGTAATTAAAAGCACAAACAAGTTGTTTTCAGAGGAGAAAATCGAGCTGTCGGCTGCTCTGCTAACAGGAAAGACGTGAATGTGCGGAAGCAAACCGCTCTCTGATTTCTGTTTCCTGTAGACTTTAATGCTTCCACTGTGAGCACTGGCAGTTAGTCTGGTGACATACACAAACAGGGCGAGGCTGTGGCTATTTCCTGGAAGCCGTTCCAGTGCAAACGGTACAAGAAGGTGTGTTTATGTGACGCACACACACTCCTCCACAGGTAGTGTGTGTGCTGAGCAGACAGTAGAACCAGATCAATACGGTTCGTTCAACCGTGACAGAAATTGATTTCCTGCACTTATGTAACATTTCTTATTCAGATGTCGGATCACGAGGAGTCTTCAGGTGCAGGTCTGTAGGCTGGAAACCGTAAATGCAACCTTCTCCACCCATCCTGTCATATTTGTTAGAGATAGCCGGTTTCTACAAGGACGGGAACTGTACCTCTGAAATATTTCCCCTCTGAGGAAGTTTTAATCTGAGCTTCTCAAATCAGCTGTTTAGTGAACTTTCTTCTTACTTTTGTCCTCTTCTGTTCCATTGACATCAATTCTCAGAGTCATTCATTGTTGCTTTCTTTTGTACTTTATACTCCACAACATTTATCCGGCAGCTGTTTACAGATCTAGATTTTTTTATTATTAGAGATTAAAGTTCGTCATCATGTTTCTGTGATTGTTTCATTTTGTAATACTCTCCTCTTGTGTCAGTAACTTCCTGTCTGTTTTCCCGCCCGGATTAGTTTCACCTGTGGATTTGGTTCCTTTACCTCAGTTGGTCGTTGAGGCGTTCCAGATATTCCCCCGGTGTTTCTCCATGTTTCCGTCTGTACTGGGACACAGATCTCAGACGGGTTTCACTTCCTGCTGTAGGTGGGACTTATCTGTGACATCACTATGATTAATGTCACATATAATCAAATATATCCTATTTTACTGCACAATGAGTACTTTTACCTTTAACTGAACACAATTAGCTGTTGATACTTTTGTACTTCAGATTGTGAATGCAGAGTATCGTCACATTAGTGTATTGGTACTTTTACTTCAGTAAAGTATCTGGATACTTCCACTGCTGCTGACACTGAAAGCAAAACTCCCAGTTTAACTTTAGAGATAGATTCTCATTTTAGTATTCGACAAGCAGCACAACATATTCAGAGTGCTAGCAGTTCCTCTTTTGTATGACAAACACAGAATACTGAGTACATCAGCCGTCAGCTAGCCGTCACATGTCCTTGTGATGTGTTCAAGTGCAACTTTTAACTGCAGACACGAGGTGATGTGAGGTGACGCAGAGCGTTTGATCAGTCAGCCTGTCTGCGGCGGTTCCCTGAGGTCGGCTCGCAGTGTCAAAGCTCCGACAACGTCAATTAGAAATCTGAATCAGGACTGAACTCAACACTCATACTCTGAATATCTGCAGCCTTTAAACCAGTTCCACGCTCTGTGTGTCAGCACATTATTAAAATACATAGGTACGTCTGTAAATCAAACTTTATTGTCCAACAAACATTGCAGTCTCTCACCAAAACATAATAATAATAATAATAATAATATCTATATAAATGTATAGATATACTATACTATAGTGTTTATAGTCTGTACATTATTCCTGCTCATTTAAACTGTTTCCTGCCTTTCTTGTAAACGTATACATCGTACCTTGAGAGAGGCTCCAGAAATGAACTAAGAAATCAGAAACTTTGAACAAGTCATTGAAAGCAGCAGGTCCTGTAAAACCTGTTGAACTTCCCATCATCCCTCAGTTTCCTCACTCCTCGCCAACAGTGATGGTTGGTCATCTCACAGCCGGGCCGATTTTCTCCACAACCTGACTGGAAAGAGGCTGTGGTGATGTGGGCGGGGCCAGTGGAGTGGGAGTGGCCTGGGAGCCTGGTAGGCAATAAGACAGGGTAGTTTGGAGAGCTGTCATATTGTCCATCTTTGTCGATGGTCAAAACTCACAGCGAGAGGACAGGTGGTGTCAGCGCTGCCCCTCAGCAGGCTTCAGTTATTGGGGCTTACAGAGGCGGGTCAGACAGGATGGAGGGATCAATAAGGATGTTTCTGAAGAATGAATCATGTAACTTCTGAGAATACAGAGAGAATGGGCAGAACAGATCCACTTTAATCTCAATCTGCTCACTGAGGGGACATTATTTTTCATTTAGTCGACTCTAATCCTTAAAGCCAGCAGAGTCTAAACATAACAAATGACTGAAAATAATTACATTTTAACTCCTGCTAACACTCCTGTGTTTGATCACAGGGATCTGGATTATTTCTTATCAATGAAAGGTCAATGCGGCTCCTCACTGAGGACGCTAATTTAATGCATAAGTCTGAATAAAGAGCGCTGGCTACGTGATTAGGTAGCTGTTACTTGATCAGTTGGCTGACATTTAAAAACACGTAAAATGAAAAATAACCCTAATTAATCACCGAAGCACGTCTGCAGGCGGCGGAGGCGCTCCTGGTTCTAATCAGACTGCTGAGAGCGTGGAGTCCCACTGCTCCTGAACGCCTCACAGCCTTCTCTACAGCGAGGTGGAACGACACTGAAGTACACATATGTTTAAACAGATGGAGCAGTACACAGAGTACTACTACTCTTCAGTACAAGTACACAAGTATTATCGGTACACAGGAAGATGACAGGAACTGGTATCGAGATGAGGTTCTAACTGGGAACCACCAGGAAACAAGGGTTGCCATCAGTTTTCCATTTTATTCATCCAAATGATTTCAGTGCTCTTGCTATGATGATTGTCACGGCTCTAAACAAAGAGCAAATCTTTACCCTGCAGATGATAAACCCAGTCTATAAAGCATCTTAATGTATCATTAATGCAACAAAGACACTCGCCAACCACCTAGAAACTCATTGAGGTGAAAACAAAGAGGAGGTTCTGTCTGTTTAAGGATAGATCCCAGAAGGTTCTGGACCTGCTGTTCACTGGGAGCTCCCAGTCCCACAGCATCAGGTCCCTCCCGAACTGCCTGTTCTTACGGTAAAAACACGACAATATGAGGAAGCAGCTCTCTGAACAGATTTTAAAATCAAAGTTAAAATGAAAAATAAGACAAAAGAAGTGTCTCAAGAGGTAGAACAGGTTGTCCTCTAATCAGAAGGTTGTTGGTTCAATGCCCGGCTCCTCCTGCTGCATGTTGAAGTGTCTTTGAGCAAGATACTGAACCCTGTGATAACTATATACTGTATAGCTACTACTATAGTCCATTTACCATTAACCAATAGAAATGAAGTAAATGAGACTGTTTAGACACCTGTTTAGAGGTGATCAACTTCATGCTGAATGAATGAGTGACAGTTCACTACATCACCATGGCAATGCTTCCTCCTCGGACAGGAAGGTGTCTGCAGGGTGACAGGTGCTGCGATGGACCGCAGGCCGGAGACCCCTTCAAGGACACTCTGACAGGAAGTGTGAGATTTGATGGTTGTTGGTATCAAACAGGCGAGCTGTCAGTGTGGAGCTGCTCCTGTAATTACTGGGGCCGCTCTGCTCTCCGGCAGCAGCGACTGTTCACTGAGGGGTTCATTATATCCTGTCTGATAGCTGAGTGGAATCCAATAACAGCACAATCCAATTGCTAAGTAATGTGTTAACAAATCTGCACTCGGAGCATTTTCCTACAGAATCAAAGAAGAAATGTTTTCTCCGAGCTTTGACAGAAACAAATATGTGTCATTTATCAAATGTGTTTTGGCTCAGCGAGTGTCCTTGAGCGCTGAACCTGCTGTGGGGGGGCCATCAGCCTAAAAAATATAAATGGAAGAATAGAGGGCTGTCTTGTTTTTGTAACATTACAGAGGCTCATTCTTCATTTCCTCGAAGGTCGTCTTTACATCTCTCCGCCCAATGAAATCGCCCAGCGGACGGGAAGACACAGAGGAGGCGACACGGAACCACACGTCATGATAGGACTCATCGCTGCACGTGGACTTTAGGACATATTTCACTGCACACATCAGAAAGCTGCTCCCTCTGGGGGGGACTGGGTTTGTGTTTCAGCTTTGTAGTTATTACCAATGTATGTAATTCCCACACTGACCTCAGGATGTGGAGATCTATCATTACAGTGTCTGTTAGCGGAGACTCTGGGGACCCACAGGACCTGCTTTCATTACGAGGTCTTGAGGTCAGAGGTCAGTGGATCCCTTTGAAAACAGCAATGCCATTTAATGTCAGCAAAATTTAATTATTAAAGTATATTTAATGTACATTTATAGAAGTAATAATAAACTTTATTCTGTATATGTGTAAGGAGGGACAAATAAGTTGAAATAAAACAACAAAGATAAAACCGCTTATATTTTCTTTTATTCTTTCATATTTGAAGGGAAGTGCACAGGAATAAGACGATCTTTGAAACCATTGAACATGATTGTAATACAGATATTATATATTATATACTTTTTTGTTCGTTTTCTTATTTTTTCACTGTA